CTTTTTCCGCAGTAGTATAACATAACCTGACACCACCTGTTTTCCTCCTCTGAGGACTGTAGACGGTCTGTAGCCTGTGAGGCCAGGAAGAGGCGAAACAAAAACAATAAAAGCGTGGATCTACAGGTCCTGCTAAGTCTGGTTGGTCCCATGTGGCCGTCACACTGTATGCATAGCCAAAAATGTTTTATTGTCAGTCAGTCTTTCTTTACTAGCCAAGATAAAAACAACTAAATTATCATTGCTCTGCTGCTCATTTCTTTATTTTTTAGCCATGTTGTCTCATAAGAGTTTTCTAGTCCAACTCATTAATTCATTTCAACTTATGAGGTGTTTCTTCAGATTCCTTTTATTTTGGTCATGTTCAAAAACATTTTTTCTTATGTCTATGCACAATTGTCCACAAAGTCCTTGGTCACGACTGAAAATGGGTTTTTCAGAAAGGAACACATTGTTTGCCTCTGATTTTGTTATTTCCTAATTACCCAAACAGTTTTCAGAATGCTGCTTGCTTCTGAGGACTTTCCATGTTAGTGGACAGTAACTGGATAGAGATTATTGGTTTCTGATATTCAGGGCGTGCAACAAATGTGGAAACCTGATGGCTGGGTAATGCTGGATTTTTTTGGCAAGTCTCATGTTGTAACTGTTGATCCTGCAAACCAAAATCAGTCTGTCCGGCTCTACTATCTTACATGAAGGATATTTTAATTAATTAATTAATTTTATTTATTCATCAAACAAAACAAAAAAAACATACTAACTTTCTCATAAGCCACACAACCTGTGAGGATCAATAACATGTCTGGAACACATGAATCACTTTCCTTAGCTTAGTCCAACTGCAATCACATTTAGCATTAAAGGTCCAGATTTAGTGGCATCTAGTGGTGTAGCTGAACATTACATCTGACTCGTTTCACACTCCCTTTCCTACAGCGAGGGAGGAAATATGATGACTGCGATGTTGAACCGCCAAGTTTCTACAGTAGCCCAGAATGGACAAACCACTGGCTTTCGTACAGGTTTTTCGCAAGTTTTGTGGCCACCGTAGTTTCTCCGCACCTAAAGGGGAGGGTGAAGTGAGGGAGTTACAATCTGCAACTATATCAGTAGATGCCAGTAGGCCTACATTTTACATACTGGTCCTTTAATATGTATGTTTTTTTTCTGTTTGGAAGTCTGTTTGGTCGTATTTTAACAAGGACGGGAGGTGTATTCATGTTAGGTAAGGAGCAGACTTTAGCAGGGAACTCAGTGCTACAGTCTGTGGCTGTTGTGTTGTTTAGCAGTTAGTTAGTGTGACCATTGTTGCTGTTTCATGCAAATATTTTTTTTTATATCTTCTAAAACGAAGAACAAAAGACATGATTTACAGAGCAGACATGTATGCTGTAGCCGAAAAAAACCAACTATTTAATTTCAGTTTAAATTACCTGTTGTATAATTTCGTAATAAGATAAAAGTGGGTGTGAAACCACCAAAAAAGAAACCCTCTTTAACTGTTCTAAAATCACCATAAAGCATGATATTAAATATTGCATTTTTTAAAATGCAATTATCAAGAGTCAAAGAGTTGTTTCTTGCATAATATAATGGGAACACAGCAATGTATTTGCATAAAAAGAAAATGTTCATTAGCTCTGAACCTTTGGCTATTGAATTATTAAAATCAGAATTATGTACTTTCACCATGCAATATAGTTAGTTCTTCAGCAGGCACTTAGCAACGTTGCCAAGCATATACTTTTTTAAACTTTTTTTGTCCACCATAGTATTTGAATTAACTGTTATAAGCCCAATAGACCTTTATTACAGCAGACTTCTCAAACACAGGTGGAACTAATGGAAGCCTTTTTCTGAGCTGTTGCAGTATCAGGAGGAATCTGCTAATAATATTTGTTTACTGGGAGACCTACATTAAATGGAGCCATCCTTCCTGTTATTAGTCTCACCTGTGCTTTTACAAGCTTTGACAAATCAAAGGTCCATTGGCCTCTTTTTATGGAAGACATTTTGGTCACAGGAGGAACAGCGGATGAAACTACTAACACTAATGACGGCTGAATTCCATTTAGCTGCTTTCAGGGTCCTGGCATTATGCATGGTTTACTGGGCCCTTTCCTGTGCGTTTTCCTAATATGTTGAGCCAAAATGTTTGCTGTGAGAAAAGTCTGTGTGTGCTGTGGCTTTACTCAGCCGATCAGTACTGATTACTGGACTGTATTATCATTATTACAATGATTATTTATTAATATTCACAGTGTTAATGGGATTCTCTGATTAAAAAAACCCATCAGGTGATACGTGTGTGCTGTTCTGAATCCTAAATGAAAATATACTGTACAAGTGGTGACACGATGCTTAGGAAGCTAGCAGTTTTTTTCCAAATGTTAGTAGTAACATCATACAATATTCTTCATCATTTAATAG